TTTGTCCTCCTAAATAATCTAGGATGATCTTCTCATCTCACGATCCTCAACGTTAATCACATCTGCAAAATCCCTTGTGCCCTATAAGGTAACATATTCACAGGTTCCAAGGATTACAATGTGGACATCTTTGGAGAGCTATTATTCTGCCTCCCATAATTGTAACTGGTAGGAGCAAATAACCCAATTTGGTATATGAAAAAGGCTTGTCAACATATAAAAGTTTGAGGATAATTTTATTACAGTGTCATGAAAAGCTTCCAAGTCATAACAACTACTATGACAGAAAGGAGATAAAGCTCAGCAAGGCTGATTTCAGACAAAAAGAAAGCCTGACAATGGTGGATAAAGGATTGCAGTGCCACATCAATAACGAAGCCAAATGAGAGCCCTGAAATTATCCAAGATAAGGCCATGTGTCTGCACTCACTGTACCTGCAGTGTGTTGTTGGGAATGAAGAACTTTTTTTCTGATCTCAGTTCATCATTTTTCAGAAGCGAACAGTTACAAACATTAGTAGAAACTAGATAGACATCAAAGAACAGATTTCCCTTCTACCAAAGTTTTTTTTAAAAAAGGACTCAATGATTTTTTTAAGATAAGTTAAACAAAGGAAGTGAAGAGTCTCACGTCTTGCATCTATTTCAGTGGCAACAGGGATTAGCTAAATGACATTGAAGATGAGGTGTCAGTATTTAGATGATGAAGCATTCCATGAGTGCTTGTTTTGGGAAACAGAGTAAATCCATACAGTTGCAGAGATATAGAGGGCCTAGAAACAGTAGCCCAATTTTTTGGTTGCAGATTTCCTATGCTATTTACATGTTTTGAAAAACCTAGTGAATGTTTAGATGTCATGCATGGTGTCCAGCAGTTGTACTCAGGAAAAGCAAGAACAACATTCGTGAGTTTCGTTACATCTTATTTTATTATTTGCATAAAATTGTGTTTTATTATGCAGTCATGAGGACTTCTAAGCCACCAAGAAACTGACAAGGATTTTGCTTTGCAGAACAACCCCTAAAGCAGAACAAATTTAATTATCCAGAGGCCTATTTTGTAGGAGAGCTAATCTTTGCCTTAGAATTTTAAAAAGTGTGTTCTTAAAGCACAAATGTGACTCATAGGTGGGTGTATTTCCATTTAGAGGACTCAGCCACTAGCTAGGGATATAGGAGCAAGGTCTATGTCTCAGAAAAAGTTACAAACAATCTAAGCAAGAGATTAGGGATATCGCTAAAGTGACCCAAGTTCAGGACAAGACTGCAATACAATGAAAGGACTAGAAGGCACGTAGTTTTCTGGCAATCAAGACTGGAGGAAATTGAGAAGCAATCTAAGACTTCAGATTGTTGGGCCAAGAGGATGCTCAAATGTGCCCATTCCAGGTACATATGTCAAGACTTATCCAAGCACAAAAGTTGATAAAGAACTCTAAGTTACTTCCAGCTTTTGTCATGATTAAGATGGGAATTTTGCCTGCAAAGTGCGTGCTTTGGTACCTGCATCAGAGTCAATCTCCAAAGGTAAAGATTGAGACTACCCATTTATAGCAGCTCCAAACCTGCTCCACTTTCTTTGTTCTCTCTCTGTTTTTTGGTTTTTTTGTTTGTTTGTTGTGTGTTTGTTTTTTGAGACGCTGGCTCTATTGCCCAGGCTGGAGTACAGTGGCATGATCTTGACTTACTGCAACCTCCATCTTCCTGGTTCAAGTGATTCTTCTGCCTCAGCCTCTGGAGTAGCTAGGATCACAAGTGTGGGCCACCACACCCAGCTAATTTTTGTATTTTTAGTGGAGGTGAGATTTCGCCATGTTAGTCAGGCTGGTCTCGAACTCCTAACCTCAGGTGATCCACCTGCCTCGGCCTCCCAAAATTCTGGGATTATAGGCATGAGCCGCCGCGCCCGGCCCTCAACCCTCTGTTCTCTTTTTTATATATCATGAAATTGTAGAATACATCTGAATCATCAGAACTGGCAGCTTCTGCTTACAAAAGCAACAAATCAGGAGGTCCTTAGTTACCTCTTTGACCTCACCATCTACCTCTGTGCCCCTTGCCTTCTGTTGTTTCACAAACATGCAGAATGAGGGGCAACGTAGGGCCTTTGCAGGTACTGCTCCTTCTGGCTGGTACAAGCGTCCACCATACAGCCAAATTCTTTCTTGTTTGTCAGTTCTCAGCTAAAGTTTGCCGTCTCAATGAGGACTTTCTTGATCAATCTTTTTAAAATTACCCTATTCTCCCCAAGACATTAATAACATCATGTCAGAGTCCTTAGCAAAATCTGAAACTATCCTGTTGGATTTTTAATTTGCTTACTGAAATGGCAGATGTGCAAGAATTTTTATCACTTATTGTGTTAAATGAATCAATGGATACTCAGAGTGCTTCTCTTGAGAAAACCTGTGCCTCAATTAAGTTGATAAAATTTCAACACATAAACACAGGAGGCATATATAGTAGATATGCATATTTCATCAGTGCCAGAGAACAACTGGAGACGTGATTATCTTTGTAAAAGTGTAAGGGGGGCCAGGCACAGTGGCTCATACCTGTAATCCCAGCACTTTGGGAGGCCGAGGCAGGTAGATCACGAGGTCAGGAGTTTGAGACGAGCCTGGCCAAGATGGTAAAATCCCGCCTCTACTAAAAATACAAAAATTAGCCGGGCACAGTGGCAGGCACCTGTAATCCCAACTCCTCGGGAGGCTGAGGCAGGAGAATCACTTGAGCCCAGAAGGCAGAGGTTGCAGTGAGCCGAGATCACGGCGCTGCACTCCTAGCCTGGGTGAAAGAGCAAGACTTCACCTCAAAACAAAAACAAAAACAAAAAAATACAAGGGGTTTGATGGGAGGGCTAGGGAACTTTATAAGACAAACAAGGTCTCTGAACCAAATCAACATTGGCTGTGAACAATAACATGGATTATCAGTGACGTTTTTTGCTTCCATTTACAACTGTTTACAGTAAAGTTTTTTTTAACTGACCAACTCTTTAGTTTATGGAGCTGGTTTCTCAGCTCTAGGCCTGGATTTTTTTGAGGTTTTTTGTTTGTTTCTTTGTTTGTTAGTTTTGAGATGGAGTCTTGCTCTGTCGCCTAGGCTGGAGTGCAATGGCGCGATCTCGGCTCACTGCAACCTCTGCCTCCGGGATTCAAGCAATTCTCCTGCCTCAGCCTCCCAAGTAGCTGGGACTACAAGCACATACCACCATGCCTGGCTAATTTTTATATTTGTAGTAGTATTAGTTAGTAGGGTCTCAAAGTCCTGACCTCCTGATCCACCCGCCTCGGCCTCCCAAAGTGCTGGGATTACAGACGTGAACCACCACACCCGGCCTCTAGGCCTGGCTTTTAAAGACGTTCTTAATTTTGATGAAAATCTTAATTATGATCCCCTTAACTGGATGTAACATTTTTTAAAAATCTCCTAACAACACATATCCTGGTAATGTAGGCTTTAGGGGAGTGGGAAAAAAACAGGACCGGGAGTCAGAAGACCCAGACTGAGGCCCTAAATAAGTTCCACTTACTCAACAGAAACTGAATATGTGCCAGGCACTGTTTTAGCAAATTCAAATAGTGAATATGACAGACAAAATGTCTGTCCCTTAGGAGTTATGTTCTACTGGGGATAGGGAGAGGGAGATAAAAATACCCTTTTCTCATCTGCAGTTTTCTCTTCTAAAAATAGTTAGGCATTAGACTAGATCATCTGGAAAGTTTCTCCCAGCTCTACATGTTCCGAGAAAGAACATTGAAAAGAAAGGAAAGAAATTTGAAAGGTTTAGCAGTAGTTATTTTGGGGAAGTAAAATCCTAGATTCAAATTTTTTTTTTTCTTTTCGGTCATCATTGCTTTCTGATATTTTTTCTATAATGAGCATGCATTACATATGAAATGGAAACATGTTTAAGAAAAGCAGTAGAGATTTTCCTTCAACTGTGAGCATTGGTTTCTAGTGACCTGAAGGTACAACATTCATCCATTAGTAATGGGAGCTGTAAAAGGGAATTGTCTTGACCCTCCAGTGACTTATTACTTGATCTTTGCCTAATGAGGCTTTAGGGAAACTGCCCAGGGGAATCTGTCTGCTCGTTTTCCCATTACTTTGGTGTGTGTACCGATCTCTTCTCTTTTCCTCGAACACTTGAAGTTCTTCGCTACCTAGAAATATTCAGGCTCAGCTGGCCTCATCTCACTCTTCAACCTTCACATCTCAGTTTAAATTTTACTTCCACAGGTGCCTTACCAGAGCAATCTAAAACCTAAATTGCCTTCCTACTTTACTAACCGTACCATCCTTGGTATTTCCTATATTATCTCTATTCTGCTTTTTTCTTACAGTGCACTCTTGTCAACTTGTAATTTCATGTCTTTTGTTTCTATACAAACTTAGTTTATTTCCCCCACAGACTGAAGTTTCACTTCGAAGACAGGGATAGTCTATTGTGTTGCAGCTATATTCCTAGGGCCTAACTGTGCCTATCACATCATAGGCACTCAACTAATATTGATTAAATGAATAAATGAATAAATGAAATGGCTCCTTTGTTCTCTCTCTGTTAAGAGTTTTATTCTCATACAGTCTTGTGCTATAGGCAAGCCCTTTGCCAGCTCACAAGAGCGAACTGTTAATTTTTTAGGCCAATTGTTAAGCTTAGTGGCTTGACATTGGCCTTGGTTGGGTATATATATATACCATAGACATAGGGAAATGCTACATGTTAATACTTTTTTCCCCCAAAGAGCTGGTTTACCAGCATACCACTACTCTCATCTTCTAAATCAAACTATAAATATTGAGCTGTCATGGCAAAAAGCATGCCCCACAGGTACCTTAAACTATTTCAATAACAAATTATTGAATTTAAAAAATACTAAATACATGCTATATAATTATTTACCTGTGAGAAATAATTCTTTTATAAGCTAAATTATAATATAAAATATGTGTCTCTGATCTCCTAAAGTTTTTGTTTCCTGTTTTTCATTCAGATCCTTATGTGAAGATTCATCTGATGCAGAATGGCAAGAGGCTGAAGAAGAAAAAGACAACAATTAAAAAGAACACACTTAACCCCTACTACAATGAGTCATTCAGCTTTGAAGTACCTTTTGAACAAATCCAGGTAATGTCAAACATAATTTATCTTCCCACTCAATTTCATTCCTTCAGACCACATAAATTATACACACAGATCTTGTAAGTTATCAGTGCACATGCCTTCATTAGAACTGCCGTTCTTTCTCCCGTGCACATTTGATGGCTGACCTACATCAAGAGGGATAGGATAAAATATACAGCACAGGACGTGCTGACTCATCAGCCAAAAACAGCTGGCACTGTATTGAGCAGAAATAAAGTCGGAAAAAGAAAATCAACACAACAACTCTGCTAACTCAAAAGTGCATCTACAAAAGTTAAAAAGCCAAGAGAAAAATGAGCTTTCACTATTTACTCTTAGGCCATAAGTCAGTCTCCTCGTCAGGGCAAAAAATAGTGATAAGAGAAATATTTTTGGTTGATGTTAAATATGCAGCATATTGAGTCTTTATTAAAAGATGATTAACAATAGAAAAATTAGGCCAAGTTGCATTTTTAATTATTTAAATTCAGCTTCATGTGTCTGAATTGGAGTGGATGGCTATTTTAGTAAAAGTGGAGCCTCAATTTGCCAGACAATATTTATGATGGGAAGTATTCTATTAAATGTCCTTGTGGTTAACATATTCAAATTAAATTGCTATGTGGAGCCACAGTGATAACATGCAACCTTATCATTTAGGGTTTTTTTTTTTAATATTTACATTTTCTCATCCCATCTCCATAGTTAGCCTATAAGAATCCAAAGTTTATATCCAATAATTTTGGGCCATTTCTTGCAAATCTTGAATGGGCATCAGAGAGTCAAACTGCATAAAGCAACATTCTTTTTACATTTTATTAAATAATTGGCACAGGTGTATATTTTCAGTGATATAAAAGTTTGCTCATAACTTGAAGGAGAAATGGAGAGCAGACATCAAACCTACAACAAAGGGCCTTCTAAAGGTCCAGAATAACAAATATTCTCTATTTATTTTATTTACCAAATAATAGTTGTACATATTCACGGGGCACATAGTAATGTTTTCATATATATAATGTATTATCAAATAAGAGTAATTAGCATATTTATCATCTCAAGTATTTATCATTTGTTTGTCTTGGAAACATTCAATATCCTACTTGTAGCCATTTGAAATTATATCATATGTTATTGTTACTGTGGCCATCCTATAATGGTACAGAACACTAGAACTCATTTCTCCTATGTAGCAGTGATTTTGTATCCTTAAACAAATCTCCATCTTCCCTTTCCCAGTCTTTAGTATCCTTTGTTCTACCTTTTACTTCTACGATATCAACTTATAGTTAGCTTCCACATGAGTAAGAATATACAGTATTTAATTTTCTGTTCCTGGCTTATGTCACTTAACATAATATCTGCCAGTTCCATCCATTGCCACAAATGACAGGATTCATACTTTTTTATGGCTGAATAGTATTCCATTGTGTATATGTACCACATTTTATTTATCCATTCATCTGTTGTTGGAAACCTAGGTTAATTCCATATCTTGGCTGTTGTGAATAGTGCAATACCACTCTGAATATGCCCAATTGTGTGTTCATTTACCTTTAATCTATTCTTGGAAGACAGTATCTTATGAATTAATCACAGCTTTATTCCATGAAGAAAGCTAATATAATATCTACACTTATGTTACATATATAAAATATATATGCCTGTGTGTATATATGTGCACACACATACATTTTGCATATAAAAGATATATTTTATATATATAACTTTAGCTATATAATATATACATATATAAAATAAGTATAGCTATTATATTAGCTTTCTTTATGGAAACATTAATCCAAAACATACATATACATATATATATGTATATATAATGTGCCTAGGTCCAAGTTAACCACTTTATTTACATAATCTCATTTAATCCTTAGAAGAACTTTATGAGAAAAGTACCATTGTTATTATTTCAATTTTATATGTAAAACAAACAGGCTTAGAATTTCTTTGATAGGAATACATATACATATAAAATAGGAATGATAACAGAATCTTGTCAAAGTGAGATTATGCATATAAAAGCACTTGAGACAGTGCCCAATACATAGGAATACACAGTAAATGATACTATTACCATCATCATTATTATTACTATTATTCACATGCTAATGTCCTCTCTTTTTCAAGTTAACATGTTATTAGAAAATGGATCTAACAATAAGTTTAAATCAATATATAAATTATTGCTGTCCAATAGAACTTTGTGATGATTGAAATACTCCGTCGTCCATACTGTCCAATAATATGGTAGCCACAGGTGGCAAATGAGTACCTCAGTCACTAATGTGACCAAGGAACATTATATAACTTCCATGTATTTAAATTGAAATTAAAACAGCTAGATGTGGCTAGTAGCTACTGTGTAATATAGGGCAGTCTTAAATGATCCAGAATAACCAATAACTCCACCATCTTCATATTGGTTGATAGTTTTAAATACAATGTTTATCATATAAATTTTCACATGGTGGCATATTATACATACTTACTTACTTTAACCACTATTATATGAGTAAATGCAGAGGACACTGGTTCCCTGCTCCCAATAATTTATTCACTAGCCTGAACCAGTGGGCCCCCTACTTTGGACCCCCTTGCAAACCTTTAAGACATCAATTTTTTCCAACAATTTATTTTGTAATATTTCTTCAGTGAACTCTTTTGAGTTCTAAGACCTTATTCCTATGGAAACTAACACCTCCTGGCATTTTTTTTTAATTCCACAAAATAATATAAAGCAAGGCATCGAGATGAAAACTCCCATTGAGCTACAATTCTATGACTTTAAAATAAATAATCCTTTCAACTACAAGCTGCAGAAAAGGCAAATATATTGAAAGTGAAAAACATTAAAAAATAAGACACATGTTAGGTTTCTGGCCATCATTTTAGAGGCAATAACATTTTGTCAGAACAGACAGAAACTGAGCCCAATATAGAATACATTAGACATGGAAATAATGAGCATTCCTTTGTCTGTATCCCTCTTTCTCTGTTCCTTGAGTCAGTTTATTATTTTTCTTTTCCTTTTTTTTTTATAGGAGGCAACTTTTATAGTCTTCGCCTTTTTCTAGAAAATATAAGTATTTTACATGCTAAAATAGGGGTTTACGTTTCCCTTATCCTGAAGTAATAAAACAATATGCTTGTCCTCTGTCTTTCTCAATCCCTATAAAATGTATTATGAAAGAAGCAAAATATGCTAATTTCCAAATGCACATGAAAATGTAACCCCTCCTCCCCAAATATAGAAATAAACTACATATGCAACTGGAAACATTAATCCAAAGGCTTCACAAGGATATTTTGTTTTGAGTGCTACTAATTAATGCATTCTTAAGTGAAAGAATCAAACTTTAAAAACTTCTGTTACCTTTTTGTATACTGTATCCCTGATACATTTATAATGATTGTTTCCTGATAAATTTGCTTAGGACAAGTTCTTAGAATCAATATATCCCTCTTCTTGATTCCAGAAACTACCCATTGGATAGTTAATTCCTTTAACAATGGAATCACTACAAGGGAAGATTGTCCTTGTATTGCCATTGTGTTGCATTTTACATTCTAAATTCCACTTCCAGAAGGGATTGTTTTCTCTGTTCTGAAGCTGTATATGAATGACATTTCTCATTTCATTAATATAATAATTCAGTCTCAGCATATAAAGTCCACTAAAAGGCTGTAACTCAGCCGTGTCTTCATCTGGCCCTAGCTTTTATATTTTTCTGCTACTTTAACTCTGGCCATAAATGTTGCATATTCCATTTATTTTAAACTCTTATCTTTACACTCAGTTGCTAGATTGAAATCATCACATAGTCTGCTAAGTAAATTCGTTACTCAGGAAATAGAACTGAAATATGCTTTTAAAAAGTGTATCTTTCATAACATGATGGTATAGATTTGCTTTCATCAGTTCAATCATTCAGAAAAGGAAGTTATCAAATTTTCAAAATCTGATGGAATCACTGAAGTAAATCCTGTATAGCCTAAAAGGATATTTCCATTTGATATCAATGCCAGATACATAGTAGTTACTCAGTAAATGTTTACTGAGAGAATGTATGGATGAGAAAAAAATATCTTTATTACTATTTTTTAAAGACTTTCACTGTATTGTCACATTTTATGCTCACAATCATATGATTATTTGAAATTCGATATTCATTTTTTTGTAACATGCTGTCGCCCCCTTGAAATGAGATTATTGCACATGGTTGCCATGGGAATTATTATTATTATTATTATTTATTTTTTACCACATGTTCTCATTTATAAGTGGGAGCTAAATGATGACAACTCATGAGCATAAAGAAGGGAACAACAGACACTGGGATCTACATGATATTGTAGGTGGGAGGAAGGAGAGGAGCAGAAAAGATAACTATTGAGTATTGAACTTAATACCTGGGTGATGAAATAATCTGTAAAACAAACCCCGTAACACAAGTTCACCTATGTAACAAACTTTCACATATACCCCTGAACCTAAAATAAAAGATTTCTTTAAAAAAAAAAAGAAAAGAAAAAAAAGATACCACCTCTCATCACTATTCCTTAAGTCTTAAGCTTCCAAAACATCAACTTTAGGAGGCACGCCTAACCATAGCACCACCATTGAAAACAGTTTGCTAGAAATATCGCCATGGGAATTATAATCAAATAGAGTGGCCTGAACACCAAGGCCAGAGCTTTCACTGATGAGGCTATTGAAGCAAATGAATTTAGAGGTTAGCACAAGTTGACACAGACTCCATGGCATAGAGGTTTACAGGATAGGCTCTGAAAACCAAACAGCTCATTCCTTAAACAACCTCAGGCAGGTTGTATAACTTCTCAGAGCTTCACCCATCTTTATCTGTATAATGGCAATATTAATAGGATCTGTTATGAGAAGTAACAGTTCATTCAGGTAAAAGACTTAGTGCAAATATAAGAAAAAATAATGTTTGAATATGAAGATGATGGTGGTGACAATGATGATATAGTAATGGAAGAAGAAAGATTAGACTCAAGCTTTTACATTCAAGCCATTTTCATCCTCATCCTAGTGGCTGGAGATTGATTCTTTTATTTCCAATTCCTTAGATCTCAAGGAAGCTTTCTAGTTGGGTCTTATCCCTAGAGCTAGATAATTCATATTCATTTTGTGTCTCCCTTCAGAAAGTGCAGGTGGTGGTAACTGTTTTGGACTATGACAAGATTGGCAAGAACGATGCCATCGGCAAAGTCTTTGTGGGCTACAACAGCACCGGCGCGGAGCTGCGACACTGGTCAGACATGCTGGCCAACCCCAGGCGACCTATTGCCCAGTGGCACACCCTGCAGGTAGAGGAGGAAGTTGATGCCATGCTGGCCGTCAAGAAGTAAAGGAAAGAAGAAGCCTTTCTGCATTTGCCCATATAGTGCTCTTTAGCCAGTATCTGTAAATACCTCAGTAATATGGGTCCTTTCATTTCTCCAGCCATGCATTCCTAACACAATTCAGTGGTACTTCAAATCCTGTTTTAATTTGCACAAATTTAAATGTAGAGAGCCCCTAAGTCCTTCATCATACCACTGCCCTCCAAATCTACTCTTCTTTTAAGCAATATGATGTGTAGATAGAGCATGACTGAAATTATTTATTGTATCACACCGTTGTATATACCAGTATGCTAAAGATTTATTTCTAGTTTGTGTATTTGTATGTTGTAAGCGTTTCCTAATCTGTGTATATCTAGATGTTTTTAATAAGATGTTCTATTTTAAACTATGTAAATTGACTGAGATATAGGAGAGCCGATAATATATTATATGGTAAATATAGTATCGTCTGCATTCCAGCAAAACTATCAACTCGTAAGGCACTAGTACAGTTAAACTGATATCTTAAAGGACAACTTAAACCTGAGCTTTCCAAGATAAACTTACACCACATACTTGGTAGGTGAATCCAATTTTTTAAAAATCCTGCACAGGCAAAATAGAATGATCTGAGTAGTAGCATCCAGGCTGACCTCAAGGAAGCATAGCCACAAACCAGAATAGCATCTGTCTGTATATATTTACAAAGCTAAAATAATGACTTCACTCTTACATTTGAGAAAGCAACTGAACAGGAGTCAATGATTTCATATTACAAGGTGTTCCGTGTGTGTGTGTGTGTGTGTGCGTGTGTGTGTGTGTGTGAGTGAGTGTGGTGTGCACACATTTGTTTGGGGATAGGGAGAGAAGATGCTGAGGGGAGAAGTCAACATTTATGAAATATTGCCTGACTACTTAAAAAGAAAAAAGTAGCTCTCCGTTATCACCTTTACATAAAATGTGCATCCTGTGAATTCTGTTCCAGATTTCACACTTAGAATAATTCCAAAAGGGTTGCACATTAGAATTTGTAACAAAATATTTTATTATATAAAACCAGATGAGAAGGAATGCAGAATATTTTTAACACAGCAATCTGTGCTTATTACACAAAATTACTTTGTGGTAAACAGACAGTATTGTGATCCCACCAAAAGACGAAAAAAAAAAAAAAAACCAACAACAATTAGCCATAGTTCTGAATGCACTTCAATTAAGCCAAAACAGACAGCTAGTGATCTTTTTATATACTCTTTTTACTTTTAAGTTTCAATTTGTCCTTTAAAAAAAGGTGAAACAAGAACAAGTTCTAGAAAACTGAAGCAACCTCTTATGTATACTAGATGCTTGATTTAGGAGGAGTTTTTAAATGTTTTCAATGTTATTATGTAGTAAATGGCACTATTATGAAGCTACTAGTCATTCCATAAGAGTCTTAAAGGACTGCTCTGTGTAACACTGTGACTGCCGTGTGTGCTTAGACACGTAGTTTCCTCAGTGGATAGCACTCAATTTATTCCGTAGTGATATTGTAACAATACTGCCATTCCCTTCTACTGCACTGCCCAAGGTGTGTGTAGCACAAACAGTTCTCATTACAAAGGACCAATTCAGAACTGAAAAGCTATGCATAGGACAAGGAAGATATATAGAATGGGGTGGAACACAGCATTTTGTCAAGCACTGTGCAATATTCCATATTTTTCCCCACTATGGTAGACAACCACTTTGTGGAAGGGCAGCCTGTTATGTCACATTGCATCTACTCACTTTTCTCCCACTCACTTCTGTGACCTATTTTAATTTCTGGGCTACAGACAGTAGTGATCCTCTGAAATGAAAGTTTATCTTCACAAATACCAAAACAAAATGGAGGAAAACTAAGCATTGACCTCATGTTCAGACTTCAGGATATCACACCATGTCTTTTCAAAGACTAAAGAGAATTCAAAAAGGGCTGATGTAGGCTTTGAACATGGGGCTGGCTGTTTCCCAGAAAATCTGGAATTCCTGTCATTACTCTTTCCTTATCAAAGAAGGGGCAAATGCTTTTGCCTTTTAGCCCAGACATAGTAAACACTTTATAATTGGGACAGACACAAAAGACAAAAGAAAAATACCATCTCCTTCTGCTAAAGGTCCATACATCTAAAAAACATAGGTAATAGAAAATATACACAAGTCAGATTGTGAGATTAAATAATGGCTTGAACAGAAAATTCAAACAAGACTCTTTTCAATTTAAAGGAACAAACCCTTCCAAAGAGAGGGAGTTGATTGGCTTTTAAAAATTATTTAAATATCAGAAATGACATTTAATTTCACTGTCTTCAGCTTTAAGTTGTTCACAATGAAACAACACCTTAAAACAAGCAGGTTCAAGCGGCTGAGCAGATATTATTTCTTGCATTAAAGTACTGCTAATGTATTCTCCTGCAACACTGCCAGACATGGGATTGTCACCATAGAATTAGTTGGTACTATGCCATCTTTCACAAGTCAGTGATGGAACCTGCTTTATGACCAAGATTCATCCTCAAATAAGCCACATGTACCTTTCTGACAAAGCTGTGTAAAGTATTAGAATCCGATACTCTAGAAAGATCCTAGTTGCCTTTGTGTATATTTACTGCCTGCTTGAGTGTTTCTCTGTGTGGGTTTTTTCTGTATCTTGTAGAAATGTTGGGGTGTTTTCTTCTGCCATATGGCTCGTGGCCCGCGAGCCAACTACTTCAGCTGTATTTTACCTTCATTTTTGATGAGGTGGTTTAAATTTTGTTTCACTTTGTGTAGTGAATTCCACAGTAGTTTTCTGATTGTTGTTAAAAATAACATATTACACAGATATTCAATAAAAATGTTTTATTTCCTGTTGATGTTGCCGCCTTCCCACTCTTTTCCTTGCCTGACTCTGGTGATAAGCCAATGGCCTATTGACTTTGGGGGACTCCTGGAAACAGCAGCTAAACAAAAGTTTGCACTGAAAGCCAGTGTCTGAGTCACTGATGACTGATGACTACAGAATGGCTGGAGGGAAAACAATGCCTGGAGAGCATTTGGCCATGACTGCTCGGTGTTCCTGGGCAGTGTCATTCTCAACATGTGTTTCTCTATTCCTGTTTGTGATCAGTTCATCTGGCATACTCTGAGGCTTTTCACTTTGCCCCAACATGCATCATTCAGAGTTTTCACTCCAGAGCCCAAGTCACATAGCTTTTCCAGAATGGGACTGCAAACAAGATTGTTTTAACCCCAGTTTCAGAGAACAGCATGATACGTTAAATTCTATACCTACTGCGATTGTCAGGAGAAATAAGTAAACACTTTTTCTCCACTAAATTTAACATTTATCAAGTGCCTACCTTACTGGATGCTGGAGCCCACAGTCTCAGGCTGATATAAATACACTATCGCAGTGCACTGTGATGTGCACTTAAAAGTAAGGATCTTATAGGTCGCTGAGGACTTTTACTGGATCAATCACAGTAGATACCATGGTGTATCACCATAGTCCCCCTTCAGCAGAGAGGTATTCTTGCTGCAGCTGCTAGAAGTGGTGCTTGCTGATAGCTGACAGCTGTGTTTCTCTGTGCTCTACCGAAGGAAGCTATCTCACCTAAGTTTATGCATCCTCCCTGGGAGCAGCCCACATTTGGCTGCTGATGTGGGATCTCTCTGAAGTGCCATCTCAGTTTCATAGCCCCAGGGGTTAGTGGAGACTGCTTTTGCAACTGTGCTGCAATTCAACTTCTTTCTCTGCCCTGTTCGTTTTCCTCATTGCTTTGCAGGTGTTCCTAAGAGAACTTCCTCCAATAAAACCCCTTTATGTATACAGCTTAATCTCAGAATCTGTATCCTCAGGATCCAATCCCACAACACATTCTTTGGGGAGGAGATATCAAGAAGAGTTTTCTAGAGACGATAGAAGTACAAAAGGAACTGGCAGGAGTCACCCAAGTCAAGAAGTGGGCAAGACTTCTGCAAAATTTATCTCACAAGTATATTCATGATAGGGTCTTTGAGGGTTGGCTACATACATCATACTTCCTTCCATCAGCTCTATCAGTCATGGCCAAATAAAAATAAGAATGAAACCCAAACTGCTAAGACAACCAGGAAGGATGGTTTAATTACTATTCACTGTGAGGAAGTTGTTGGCAAAGGGTTCTAAATCTAAGTTTTTAAAAGGAAATGTAAGGCGCAACTAGGGTTACAAATTTTTAAAATCAACATTAAATAATCACAATTGTTTGGTTTTCAATGGTGAGGATTTTGCTTCTTAAAATGCTCTCGAAATTTGGCCCAAAGCTATTTAAAGAATATTTCTTAATGAATTCTCAAAAAGAAAAAAAAAAATCACTTCATCCATTTTCAATGTTATTTTCCCAAAAGCTTTGAAGGTCTAACATAAATACATTTAAGATTTTTATTTGGTGTACTAGCCAGGAAAACAAAACCATTTCACATATTCAATGAGGGAATTTAACAGGCAACTGGCTGCATAAGGGAGAGCTGAGAAAGCAAAGCAGAGGCAGTGGAGGAACTCAGGGATTAGCAGTTATCACCTCCCGGGCTGGGAGAAGAAAATAGAGAATGCAGTGTTCATGGAGCGTGGGACTGAAAAGGAGGGGCTTGAATCTTGGACAAGGTTGCATGGAGACTGCATGATTCTAGGACCACAAAAGGGTATTGGGTGCTGGTCCACCCCAGAGGTGATGGAACCGCCCGAAAACCCTGATCCATTAGCTGCTCACTACTGCTAGAAGGAAGATGAAAGAAGCTGAAGGCAGGAAGAGGATCTCTTCTCCTCCCCTCCCTTCCACTTCAACCAGTGCTTCCCATTGGCAGAACCAGCTGGTAAGGGATTCTAGGAAAAATAGTCTGCAAAGGCTTCGACCCCACCCCAAGTATATAGCAGAGTACAAAGGTGGGAATGAGAACAGCCAGAAAATGATCAACGCATTAGGAAACCTGTTACCATCTGCAAGCACTTCTTAAATGCTTTTCTTTTTTTCACAGAGGAGTCAGATGTTTCTGTCTGTCACACAAGTCATCCCCCACCTGATAAAACATGCATAGAGATCACATTCTTATTCTATTTATGCAGAGTTTGCTCTTAACAGATTTGAAAATTCCAACCATGATTGTAGTTACCTCCCACCCCCACTGCAACACATCTTTATTACATATGCACAGGACTCCTTGATGTTTAGCAATTGATTTAGGCTGCACACAAATCTTTACCATAAAACAGTCACACGATGACTTTGGAATAAGAAGGTAAAAAAGCAGGAAAATAAAAATGAGAAATAGCCTAGTACTAAATGTACAAAGAAATTTTCCAAAGCATACAGAGCAATAATTATGCCGGAGGAGCCGTCAAGAGAGACCCAGAAATAAAAGCACTATGCAAACATGCTGATGATTTGTGTAATCTAAGTTCTGAGGCTGGCTGTTATATACATTTTCAAATCCACATTTCAGCTCTATTGATTTCTTCGCCCCCCACTGCTTCCCACCAATGAATATCCCCAAAGTTCTCACATTCATCTTTCCTTGACAGTAACTATCCTGCACAGCTAAGCCTGTGCAAAATATTCTTGCCCCTACTTGGGCACACACAAGGTTAAGAGGTATTTTATACTTAGCAAGTTGGGACTCACTTTCTTTTCAGCTGTCCACTTTAACTCTGTCAACTTCCTTCCCCTCTGGACTCTGCAACAAAGTGTTGACACCTTTTATAGGTAAGAATGTTTGAGTTGCAAATGGAAGAAATCTAAATCAAGTTGTATTAAGGAAAAAAGAGAAAGAAAGGTAAAAGAGGAGAGAGGGAGAAAGAGATAAACAACTGGCTCACCTAACCAGGAAGTTCCAGGCGGGGGATTACGTTTAGGAAGAGCTGGATCAAGAGCCACAAACAGTGTCATCATTTTCTCTCTCTCCTCCTTCCTCCTAAACTCTGCTATCCTTAGTATTGACTTCATTGTCAAGCTTCTATGTCCCCCTGTAGCAACAGAGATGATCCTTGGGAGCTTCACACATATTCTTCCAACATAGCATGATTGCAGAGAGTGTTTGTTTCATAATTATACCGCCAGCCGGCTGTGGTGGCTCATGCCTATAATCCCAGCACTTTGGGAGACTGAGGCGGGCAGATCACCTGAGGTCAGGAGTTTGAGACACCAGCCTGACCAACATGGAGAAACCCTGTTGTGATATTGTGCTGACCTAGAGCCAGAACCTGAGCAACGCCATTTTATAAGATAAAGCTGTGTTTGGCTTCTGTAAATAAAGCTGCTAGCTTGCTCTGAAAAATGCCCACTATGTAAAGCTGCTTAAACTTTGCTTATCAGTTACTGCTCTCTGTGGCCCTAATGTGACAGGCAAGCAGTCCTAACCCACACCATCTTGGCTCCTGCGACTTGTAATAAGTAACTAAGATCTGTGACTTCCACCAGTATCCAGACAATGTGTAAACTAACTTTTGTAAGCCACTTAGGTAACAATCGAAGTGACAACATGTCCTCTAGCCCTTGGAATGTCCGGAGACCCCCACCCTCATCTCTGCCCAGGAGGTGATTTACAGAATACACTAGCCCTCAGAATGTCTGAAGCCTTTTCATCCCCATCCCCGCTCCTCACCTCCACTCCCAAGGTGGTTTTTCGGGTATAAAAAGTCTTGGCACTCTCCTTTCAACACCACAGGTTGGAGAGACGTGAGTCCTCTGTGGTTGACGGCATAAAAAATGACCCTGCAATCTGGCATACTTTTGTCTTGGTGCTAACTTTCTATGCTCAGTCCAGTATAACACTGTCTCTACTAAACATACAAAAATTAGCTAGGTGTGGTGGCACATGCCTGTAATCCGAGCTACACAGGAGACTGAGGCAGGAGAATCACTTGAACCAGGGAGATGGAGGTTGCAGAGAGCTGAGATCATGCCATTGCACTCCAGCCTGGACATCAAGAGCAAAACTCTGTCTCAAAAAAAAAAAAAAAAAAATTATACCACCAAAATTCCCAAACCTGACTCGTATGCTTAGGTCACATGCTCTTAAAACAATCACTATAGCCAGGTGATGATACAGTATTTGCTTCAGCCAAAACTAGGACATGTCTCTAGACCCAGAGCCAAAGAGATGGGGGAAGGATAGCTCCACGAAAGAAAATCAAAATGATATGAACAAGAAAGAAAAGTAGATACTGAGCAGACAAAAACAGCAAACAGCTACTCTTCGACTTCTGGTATACCTCCAGCCCTAACAGGAGGGACAAACCCAGGTGATAGCAGTGTCCTGGTCATTCCTCCTTTTACTAAAAACACTGTTAGGAAATTTTTAAAGTGTGTACCACCTTTCAATTATCTGAAAACTTCCACTTACTTTCCTATTTGTTGCCAGGAAAATCAACCACTTGCTGTATATTTTAAACAAATTATTATTTTTGGAGACAGGATCATGCTGTCACCCAGGCAATCATAGCTCACTCCAACCTTAAACTCCTGGGCTCAAGTGACCGGCCTCAGCCTCACAAGTAGCTGGGACCACAGGTTCACACCACCATGTCTGGCTTTGTTTTATTTGTTTGTTTGTTTGTTTGTTTTTGTTTTGTAAAGACAAGGGGTCTTACTATGTTGCCCAGCCTGGTCTCAGACTCCTGGGCTCAAGCGACCCACCCACCTTGGCCTCCCACAGATGCCTTTTTTTTTTTAAGCACTGAGACATTAATACAATTTTAGATTCCTGGCTTCATGAAAAGAATGTATTGTTACGAAACTTAACAAGGCAAAAAGGAAATAGAAAAGAACAATAATCACCCTACACAGCACTTCACGCTTTTTGCCTTCACATACATGCTCACATTCTTGGTCCACAT